TCTCCTCTTCAGTGGCTGATCTGGTCTCACTGGGCTGGGAGTAAATGGATGGGGAGGAGGTGAGTACAGACAGAGCTGGCACGAGGTTGGGCTGTGGTCATTATCTTGAGGCTCAGATATTTTTCACTCTGTGAATAAAAGCAATGAAGACACTCATCCCGGAGGGGGACCCTGGTGTGTTTTTGCAGGCCCACTCATATTTCAGCACACAGGTTTATAACAAAAGCAATTCTATAAGCAGCAAAGGCAAAACCTTCCACTGGTCTTCTAAGATTCATCTCCTCTTGTGCCTTTTTTTTCATCCTGTCTTCCTTCACCCCAACCATTTTGCTCACTTCCAGGAAAGCTGAGCCTGCACATACCAGGCCCTTGTCCACCCCTGGAAGAGCCATTCCCATGCCCAGAGCATCATTCCAACCCTGCAACGGCAGAATTCAGCCCACAGCACTCTATCTGCTCCACTGCTGGGGCAGCTGGCCAGCGTGAGGTGATCCTCTTGGACTGAGATCCATACAGACAAGACAGAGAACCACAGAGAGCAGCCAGCGTGAGAGCCAATAAGATGGAAAGGAGCACACGAGGGAGGACTGGAGGACAGCAGGCAGCCGGCCAAGCCTTATGGCAAACCCAGTGAGACAGTCCCAGCCAGCCAGAGTGAGCAAATCTAAGCTCATTCTAATGGCTCTGACCCAAGCCTGAGTCCCTGGGGAGTCCACGGATGGAGAGAGCCCTACATACCTTTCCAGAAACAAACTGCTTGATGTTGTCATGGAAAACCTGGATGTTTGCATTCTACAGTTTCACTGTGGATGACATCCAGGTCACAACCTAAGGAAGACAGCTGGCAAAAAACAGCCTTGCTGGCTGATTACCCAGCTTTTGTAATGAATCCCAGAGGGATACAAACCCATGTGCAGTTCTGGCTCTGCCAAGTCCTGAACCATCTCTCACCAAGCGAAGGTCAGTTAGCTGGTGATTTATGTTTCCAGGGATGTCTGAGAAGCCACCTGCAATCAAGACTCCACTGGAGAAGCTGCTCCAGAAAGAAAAGGGATGAGAAGTACGTGCCAGGGTAAGGGAAGGGAGGATGAAGTTTATTTTCCTGTTGATGCAGCTGCTGTCTTCTGCTTTGTAAAAAGAAAAAGAAAAGACGCAAGGACACACCTGATCATGCCGAAGCCCAGCACTCATCTGCACCCTCAGCCCTAGTCCTGGTACAACAAGTTCCTGATGTAAATAGCACAAAGACAAGTCTAAAGGCTACAAACAGTAGTCCTGCTCCATAGAATGAACAATTCCGGAGAACATAAAAAATACACTAAAACACTCCAAGAAAGCAGAAATACTTTAATAACTATCTTATAGCTGTTAATAGTTACTGTATGCCAAGCACTATGCTTAAGCCTCATAAGTTACCTGTTTGGTGTAGACCTAAAACACCCCCACAAGTCTCACATTCAGAGTGGGGCTGGTCAGACGGGTACTCACTGGGGTGTGACCTGCGAGGGTGTATTCTCCACCCCAGCTCCGGCCTTCTCTCTCTGCCTCCTGGCTGCCATGCAGCAAACAGCCTTCCCCGTGCCGTTGTGCCCTGTGGACTCTGCATGGGAGCCCGCAGACCATGGGCTAAACCCACTAAACTGTAAGACAAAATAAACCTGTCTTCCTTTAAGTTGTGGATGTTGGATATTTTGTTCTAGTGACAGGAAAGCTGACCAGTACATTATCTAATCTTCAGAATAATTCTGAGGTATGTAGTAGCAGTATGCCCATTTTATAAGTGAGAAAAGTGAGGCCAGTGCTTCACAGCCATTTTAAGGTAAGGGCTGAACCCTGAATTTTCATTGAAAGTGAGTGCTGAGTGTCACAGCCCCTGTGCAAGAGCACTTAGGAAGCACATCCCTGCTCACCCTCAGGTAAGGCCTTAACTACAGGCACGCTCTGCCATCTAGGTTAACAGACACTCGGTAAATATGTAACGTACATAGGTAAGGGTTTCCACTGAGATAACAGACTCTTTCACACCCAGCTTCTAAAATGAAAACATCAAGATTCTAGTAATTTATATTTTTTATAGATGATGAGGGCTATATAAATTATGCCTATTCTTTACAATTACATGTAGCAAAGGAATATGCTTACAGTATCGTTTTACATCCAGTTATATTTTACACAAAAGTCCCTTTTGCCAAGAGGCAAGTTACAAGAATGAAGTCAGCCCAGCAGTGTACTTCTGAAGAATCTTGTGCTGTTCTGGCAACAGCCTCTAACCATTTGTCGCAACACTGACTAGATGAGGCAGAGGGCACAGTGGTGCTCACAGCTGCAAGTCCTTGGCTGAGACCAGGCCGACTTGGTGCTGCTGTAGCCCCAGAGAGAAAGCAGGTCAGCTCTGCCACTCGCCTGGTCACTTCCTCAGCTGCCCACCTAGGAGGAGGGCTGCCATTCACACTGCTTCAACTGCCAGGTGTAGACCTCTGTGGGGGAGAAGGAGCTGGTGGCAGATGTGTCCCCAGAGCATGTGACAGATGCCAGGTCCCTATTTCTCATGGTTTCTTCTCTACCTGTGCTGCTGGCTGGGCTGGGAGAAGGAACCACTTCTTCCTGGCTTTCAATATTCAGCGTTAAGTCAGTGGCCCCTACAGAGCAGAATGACTAGACAGGAACCTCTGCCTCCTGCCAATTTAAAATTGTGAGTAATTGCAGAATTTTTGAGAGGCTGCCTGAGGAACAGGGTAGGGAGAAAGTCAACCGTTTCTTTAGAAAGCTCAGACTTTTAGAAGAGGAAGGCCCAGCAGAGTAGCCCCAGGGATGTGCTCCTACTTCCTTCCCCTCAGCTCTTTTTCCTAGGGTCATTATGTGGAGAGAAAAGCTAGGAAAACTCACCAGAATGTGTGAATAGCTAAGATACATGCACCCTATCTCTGCACAGAAGTGAATGGGCTTGCCACTTCGTGTGAACAGGAAACAGCACAGAAAGGTCTGTCAGGCCTGCGTTCTTGGAGATGGGATTCACTGGTCCAAACCTTATTAAAAACTATGTGTGAACAGTCTTTAGAACTACGTAACTAAAGGATGCGTGTGCCTCTCAATGACTGCAAGACAGATTTGGTATTAGGGCCCAGCCTGTCCCAAGCCCTACTGTAAATGGCCACAGGCTTGCTAGAGGGCCAGACCCCATCACAGGCCTGTCCAGGAGGGCAAGCCAGAACCCACAGAACCCGGGAAAGGAAATGCAGAGGATGTTCAAGTTCAACCCAGCCAGGGTAAGCTAAGTCCTCCTGGCTGGTCAACCAGGGCTGTCCAACAGGACGAATAGACTGTGTGCTGTCTTCACTTAGCAACATTTTTTTCTTGGCTTTTTAAAAGCACCGTAACACACCACAGAAATTTTAAGATAGACACCTGAGAGACACTATTTCTGAGGAAAATAAAGTAGGGGTATTTCTTTGAAAAGAAAAAGATGAACCAGTACTGAAATCCTTATTCAACATTTCTGGAAGGTGAAATGCCAAACTTAAGGTCATATACCTCAGATTTCAGAAGCAAATCAAAGGGGACAATAAGCTGCACAGAATCAGAAATCTGAGACAGAAAAATTAAGGTAAGGTCTTAGTTTCCAATCTCCCTATTGTTCAGAAGATGGAATGTGGAGGGCCAGAGAGGGGTTACATTTATCTCAAGTGGAACTGCTAGTTGGTGACAAAACTGAAAAGGGAATCCTGGCCTCCCAGATTCCGTGAATGCTTATGACTGTCTGGGTCATTCATGGTATGGCTGATCCTGGCAGATAAAGAAAGAGGGTCCAAGATTTGCCGCTTTGGGATGGAGAGTTTAAGAGCAGCTCTGGTGTCTGGAGAGAGTACATGGCCCATAGAGCAGGTCCTCATCATCTCTCTTGGCCCATTCCCCACAGCCCACCCCAATTCTTCCTTCAAATGCATACCAGCCACACAGGGGCCCTTAAGATTTGAGGAACAGAAAACTTTATCTTATCAGCTGTTTGGGGGGGGCAACTGGTCATTTGATCTGTTTATGTAGAAGGCAGCCCTGCTGAGCTCAAGCATTTGCTGCGAGGCAGAGGAGAGTTCATTCATCTGGGGTCTGTTTCCTCCAAGCCCAGATCAGTCCTTATCTTCACTGCCCCCGCCCCCAGGCTCTGTGCTCCCATGCCCTGAGGAGGAGCCACCTGTGTCCTTTATTTAGTGCTGTAGGTGGATTCCTGTTCCTCTTGTTAGACTTGAGATTACTAAACACCTTGGTTTAGTGAAAAGTGAATACTTTCTCCCCCCTGAAAAATGAAACCAATAGTCTATTCTACTTTCTGGGGATGTCTTCTAACTCAGTACAGGACAGACTGCGATCCTCTGGGTTCCTACCCACCTTTCAACCCTCGGGAGGATCCTAGGAAAGTGGGGAGTGGGGGACTCGATCTCTTCCTGCAGGTCGAAGCCTACTCTCTTGGATCACCATAAAGAGGTCGAACTTTCTTTCCACTCCTGTCTGACAAGCTCATTAGTGAGAAGTTCCCAGAAAGTGGAAGAGGAGCTTGCATTTTCTGTGCGTGCACAGAACATTCTGTCAGGCTCCAGAAGACACAATTTAAACAGAGCATCATTAAACAGAGCAGCTGATATGAATTCCTTCCCAGCCTCTCTTCCAGGCCAAAGCTGAACTCAAGGGGGCAAGGGTGGGGCGCGCTGCTCCCGCTGAGCTCCACTCATTCCTTCTCAGCAGCGTGCTGGCCACAGGCGACTGGCTCTCAAGGGGATGTGTCCCCTTGGAACTGTGCTTTAATCTAGGGGGGAAACAAAAGGCAGGGGCAAGAGGTAGACAGGAGAAAGCAAGAGGGAGCGCAGAAGAGCCAGACTGGGTCTTCGCACTGAAAACGAAGCACGTGACACGACCATAGGTGCGTGCTCCCTGGAGCAGAAGGTTGGGAGAAAAGCTCATCAGGAGCCGTCCCCGCTGCGCCCTGCGTCCTCCCTGCTCTCACTTACCCGCGATTCCCTGCAGAAGCCCGCACACGTTGAAGATGCTCTTCTTCATAATACTCTGCACACACATGGTGAAGACGGACACCAAGGCCACCACGCAGAGGATGAGGATCCCCACGGCCAGGAATATCGCAGTGGCCTGCCAGAAGCCACTGGCGATCTCACCGAAGCTCTCGGCATAGGGCCCGCAGAGAGTGTCACGCGGCACGTGCTGCAAGCCGGGGTTGCGGATGCAGCGTGCGTAAATGCCCAACGTGGGGTGCGGGGGTTCGGGGGCACCCCCTGCCGTCGGCTCGGCCCCGCTGCCACCACGGCCCTTGGCCTTCCCTATCAGCCAGTCTGCGCTCATGAAGGCGATGAGCTCTGCGAAGGCCACCACAATACTCAGGAGAGTCCAGAGCATAGAGCGGCAGGTGACAATGACATGACACATATTGAAGTTCAAGGCAGAAATCCAGGGGTTAATCAAAACAGTCGGCCAGTGGGGCAGGAGGCGGCGCTGGGGCCTGGGAAGGAAGTTGCAGCAGGGTCATTCACTCCCGCAGCCGGCGGCAGCAGCAGCAGCAGCGTGGTCCTCGGCGAGCAGCAGCGGCCTCACCTAGGGCAAAGTAGAAAGGCGGGGCGTAAGGGTTCCTCCACCCGGCCCCACCCACAGCCCCGCCCCCCCCTCCCACAGCCCCCTGCTCCTAGCCCCGCCTGCGCGGCCCCTGGTCTCCGCCTTCCATCCAGTGCCCCGGTCAGGCAGCACAAGGGGCAGTCCGCAGGCGCCCTGACCATGCCCTCGGAACCCTGCCTGGCAGGCTCGGAGGCAGCATGGCCAGAGGCCCAGAGCCAGCCCGCAAGGGGCCGCGCCTCTGCCCCGGGACCTGATTAGAAAGAGGGGCCAGGGGCCAGCGGACCTCGGTGACACACTGCAGTCTGCAGGCTTTGGCAGATGTTCTGGAAAACTCGCACTAGAAGCTTTTGCTCCACAGCGGAGAGTAACAATATCTAGCTTTTACTGCTGGAAATGGAATCACTAGCAAGCAGATAAGTGTGGACTGTGTACTTCCTTGGTGAGACATGTAACAGGAAACACTCCAAAGAAAATAAAGGTTGCTCCCTACAGTTGTTTTCATCCATTTCTCAAGTTACTTTACACAAAATAATTTCTATTAATTAAAATTCAAAAAAAGGGCAAACTTCTCAAAGAAGAGCTCCTAGTCAGGCGTGGCGCACACACCTCTAATCCCAGCACTCCAGAGGTTGAGGGAGGGCGGCACATTTGAGGCCAGCCTGAAATACATAGTGAGACCCTGTCTCAGAAAAATGAGCTTCTGATTTGGGAAAATTACTCAAATCAGGCCTTAATGACCATTAATGACACAAGTTTCATTACAGCTGAGTGACACTGACAGCAGAGAATGGCATAAGAAATGTGTCCCTTGAATTGTCCCAATTCATCACATGTGCGTTTGACCTAGCTTCATTTCTCCCAGGTCTGCAACTCAACATGCCCATTGTTTCTGGTTTCACAGAGGGCTCATTCTACTCTCCAGAAAAATGACTTCATTAGCGGAGGACTCTGCCCCAGTGGCTCAACCCCCTTCAGCGGAGCCTGAGCCCTGAGACTGGGGTTGGCAGTGCAGCTCTGTGGCCCACTTCTGCCCCCTCCCCAGGTCAGGCAGAAAGAGAGCAGCTCCCCAGGTCCCTGGACATATGGCCCTGCTCAGAGCGATCTGCTCTTCCTAACTAAGGTCAGGTCAGCTGCATAAAGACTAGGAAGAGCCCTTGGCATGCTGCAGTGGGGTGAGACCAGAAGCACAGAACCACAAGCCACTGTCCAAGCTTCAGGTGCCTCTTCCTCAGCCCACATCAGTGCTCTGCCTGCTGCCCAGCATCCACATAAGCAGTGACTCTGGGGTCTCATGAAAGGTGATATGTTTAAAACTCCTTGAATTCCTGTCATTACACAAGTTGCTATGGGAACATAAGCCTGGAAACACGGCACTTAGTTGTCACACTGTGTGTTAAAGGGCTGTGCTGAGAACTGAGTGAGAGCGAGGTGGGGTGTCCCACTGAGAGCTCTAGAGTCCTTGCTCCACCACCTGGCCATGTGTATGTATGTGCAACCTCTCAGAACTCCCTCATCTGCCATGAACAAAGAGCCCCTATCTCAAAAGAGGGTTGTAAGGAATAAACTGGCATAGTAACTGCTCAGGAAGATCACTTCCCTTGGCAGTGTTTACCTCAACATTAATGATCGCGGTCAGGTGACAGTGCAGGTCAGAGACCTGGCCACTGCACACAGAGCGGTTACTTGAGATGAATAATGAGAGTCCCTCATGTTGAAGCTTTCCTAGTGGGCTTCACTGACAAGTCACTGTCTTCCTTCCGGTTTCCCCACTAATTCACTTGCCAAGTGCAACTGGTTAAAATAGATTAGCACTAAGCTGGAATACATATCCTATTGGCACTCCCTCCTTCTCTCCTTTCCCAAATATTACCAAAAAGAAAAGCCTTTTGAAAAAATGTTACCAATAGCAAAGAGCTTCCAAGGAGGTAGTTTGTACTGAAAATCATCGTTCTTCATGAGAGTAAGAGTATGAGGCTCCCTGTGGGCCTGAGAGGCCATATTTGCCCATAGGCTTGTGAACATGTGAACCAACAGATGGAAACCCTGAGAAGAGAAGCTGAGGCTTCTTTCTACAAAGCCTCCCCACTGCTTAGGAAGCCAATTTGCTATTATGTCTAACCCAGCTCCATCTCTACCCTTCTTCTGTTTAATGGCGATTTATCACTGTAAAGGTACATGCATAGTTGTCCCCTTGCTCAACTGCAGGACTCTGTCATTACCTCTCACATATTTCTATCTTCTGTGACTGGCCTGGCGAGCAAGCTCTGCTCAGAGCCAGAAGTGGAATCAGGTTGCAATTTCCAAAGAGAAAAGCTGTGAATGTTCAGAAGCAGGGGAAGATGGGGCACCCAGGCTCAGCAAGCTAGGCCATGACAAAGCTAAGGTAGTATTATTGAAGAGCCCACATGCTGAAGCTCAGAAAGTAGAGTCCCTTCTCCATCCAAAACACTCCCCTGTCCAAATTCTCACACCCACACCAGAAGGGTTGGGATAAGGCCTCCCTCCATTCCTCTGTTTTAAACTGAGAGATAAGGGGCTTTGGTCTCTCTGGCATGTCTGCTAACTGATGCAATCAGAGTCAGCCCTGACACACAAGGGCAAATGACTACCACTGAAGCTTCCCAGGGCTAGGGCAGCTTTCCCTAGCAGAGTCATCAGGGTGGTGGGGCAAGGAAAAATCTGGAAATGCAGCAGGGGCTTCTAGAGCAGTCTGTGCTCTATGACCGATTGGGCAGGCACCTGCTGAGACAGCATCCCCATCAGAGGGAAAACATTTTCATTATAGATCCCTGGTAACTGCAGGACACTGGCCCCAGCGCTCCTCTGCAGGGCACCCCTGCTATTCACTGTAATTCTGCCTCTGTGCAGCTCACCATAAGCCAGGCCATCACTGCCATCTCACGTAATGGCCGCTAAATACACGTCCCTCTGGTACATCTGACCGTGCCATCATATCCCTCATGACTAGAGTAACCTAACCAGCCCTCTTTCTGCAAATAATGCTACAACTGCCACAAAAGCCCACAAAGTAAAGCATTTAAGCAAATAATTAAAGAAAAAGACAAGTGAGAGTCATGCAGAAAACTACAATAATACCATAGTCAGAAGGAAGAGGAAGCTACCGTCTGTAAGAGTATGGTCTGCGGCAATCGGCACATTGCCTACTTCACAAAGCCCCAAAGCAAAATCTGGGAAGGTTCTGAGCAGAGCTGAGTTAGGGTCTGTCGCTCACATCACAGGGTTCCCTCTTTGCCAGCTTCCTATCGTCAGTCAGAAAGGAGAAATGTACATATGAAGTCAGAGCCAGACAGGGCTGCTGGTGAGATTACTGGAGAAGACTCAGGCACAGGGCATTTTTGCCTAGAAAGCTGAGGGAAACTGAAGGACTCCAGTCAGAGCTGAGCACACAGCCACCTCTCCAGTGGGGAGCAGCAGCACACCTACTGGAAAGGGAGCCGCGGCCCCCTATGTTTTTAAGAACACTACCTTGCCTACTTACCTTGGTTCTGGTTTCCAACTCCACTGTGAAAATTTCGAACACAGATACAAGTTGATGAGAACAGACAGTGAGCATCCATATATCTAACACCCAGACTCAACATTTGTCAGCGTCTCCCCAAACCTGACTCACTCACCCACAGCATACATGTATTTTTTTCTGGACCATTTGAAAATGAGTCACACATGCCTTAATACTTCATCCCTAAATACTTTAGCATACACATTCTAAAATTAAAGATATTTTCCTACATAGTCACAATAAGATTAATACAACCAAGAAAGGTGACAACAATCCCTTTATTTCTAATACACTGTCCATACTCAGATTTCTCTATCCCACCCCATTTTTATAGTAAGTAAAACCATGACTCAATCAAGACTCGGGCATTACACTTGGCTAGTTTCAGGACAATAACAGTCTTTCCTCTCTAACCTCTCCCTCCTTCCCTTCCTCATGGTGTCAACTGTTTAGAGATACTACATTAGTTAGTTTATAGAATATCCAACAACTGGACTTGTCTATTTCCTCATGATGTGACACTTTTCCCTCTGGTCTGCTGCACAGGAATGGGCAGTTAATGCAAAAGGCTGGCTCAGATTCAGCTTAAACATTTCCTGTGAGAAGCCGCCACAGGTGCTGCTGTGCAATTCTTACCGCGTCCCTGGAGGAACACCAGGACTGCACCTAAGAATCAGAATAATTTTATGCATGCATGTGTGCACGTGTGTGTGTGTGCATGTATGTACAGAAATAACTGCATGGCCAAGGTTCTCCCCAGGCCAGAATCGTCATCTGTGGGAGCAAGCAGAAGGCTGGTCAGGGTAGCCTCTATACTGACAACCCTCTGGGGATTCTGATGCCAGAGGTGAGGAGCTCTTTTCTGAGGTGCCATCCTAGAAGCTAAAGTGGAATTTTCTCAGATACGTGTGGTATATTTGTTTGAATGGAGCCGTGTTTTATATAGACCTTGGGAAAATACAAAAAAGATCTAAGAAATCTGCAAACCTAGGAGGGGGCTACAACCTCAAATAGATGTAGGTCCTCCCCTTAAACTTTGCTTGAACCAAGAGAACTAGATTATGGAGAAAAAGCTTTTGTGTAACCAGGAAGGTCACAATTTAACAGTAGCCTCAAGTACCCACCCAGCTCTGAACTCCAGCTGTGATAGCTGAGACACTAAAGACTCATAGCTTTGGCCAGGGCAGCCCTTCAGGAGCTTTTCAATGAAGGATTTCTCAAACTAGAGTCAGAGCACAGAGGTTAAGTAATGTTTACTGGAAAGACCAAAGGTGGAGATGACCCAACTGCTCATGAAGATGCATGAACAGGACCAACCAACCTCATAAAACATGCTGACCACAGAAGACATCTGATTTGTTGAAGAGAAAGGGACAAGTGCACTAATGTGTGCATTATTCTCTGAGTTACAGTCTTACCACACTCAACACTTCCGGCTTCTCCTGTTGCCTTAGCTTCCATG